CAGCATCCGACCGACCGCAGAGGCTGCTGTATTTAGCTGCAGGCTGCTGGTTACACTTTTTGACGAGGTCCAGGCTCCAACAAAGTCGGCAAACTGCCTGGCGGCCATCCCTTCCAGCACGTCCAATCTGGTTCACGTACCTTCGTGAATTGTCAGGCGCAGTCTCTGGGAGTCTCAGATTCAAGCTCTGAGGCTCGCAAGATGCTCACCCAAATGGAGCTTGAGACAAGCTGCGTTTCGATGTTCACAGGCGGCTCCCAGTGGAGAATGAAGTCAATGTCAGGCTTGTCAATGCCCTGACCGTAGGCGTCCGTGGCCACCATGATGTTGATGCGATTGTGGCGAAACGCCTCCCAGTCTGCCAAATCGGCACACGGCTCTTGAGTTCCGCCGTGCACAAAGCCTAGGACATGATAGATTCTCAAGGCATCAGACCCTTGCTTCTCATTTCTGCCGGAGCACGTTAAGTCGACTTCCCTCAACGATTCTCAATGCTTGCTGCAGCATCCATTCCTAACTACTGCTCGTGATTGTTCTGAAGCATCCGAATTCCCGCACACCCCCTGCCCCCCAGTGGCACAAGATTCAACTCCGCTCTTTCGTCCGGAGGCGTCTCGCCATCCATCTGACCCACCACCAGGTCAAGGCCACCTCACTTTCCGCTGCTGGGCCACCAGGCGGGGAGGCTTCGGACTTCGGACCCTTTGAGACCCGGGACGCTGCTCCAGCTCTTCTTCCAGGCGGCGTCGTACCCTCACAACCGGAGCCAACTCGCTCACACTGGCGACTGAAGGAGGAAGATCGAAAAACGACGCTGATTCGAAAGTCATGCAGGCTCCTACGTGCCGTTGGCTTCGTCTGAACGTACACGACTGCCTCGAATATGTTCCAGCTGCTGTGGCCATGTCAGTGTCAACTCGGAACTGCAAAATGTTCACACTTGATGCTGCACAGCAGCTGCGTTGCGACCATCCACGACCAGCGAGTCCAGGATCATGCTCAATTTCTCCAACTCCTTGTATAGTTTTGACCACAACGACATGTTGATGCCCGATCCGACAAGAGCCCTCAGCTTACCCAGCTCATGGGAGGCTCTTTGCAGGCCGGTCTCCTGAAGACCCTGGCAGCTCTCGAGTTGAAGGTTCTTCCGGAACATGGGCCTTCCCACATCTGCGGAACAGATTAGACGCTCCAACTCCAACTCTACCTTCACAGTTGCCTGCTTTGCGCGCCACCGGCGAAGTCACGAAAAAAAAACTCGGCAGATGGCATTGCAATCAGAAGGTCCCATATGCATTCCGAGCCACATTGCACTTCCTAGTCGGAGCACACTAAGCCACTAAGCACTAAAATTCCACTCAAGACAGAAGTGGTCGTAGTTGGAGCCTGCAGCATTTAGTGTAGAGGCCTTGCGACGACCCGCGGAGATGTCAAATGCAATATCGTACACTTTTTCGGACAAGCTGCCGTAGGGTTCTTGCAGACGCAGATGCTCTCGGATGAAGTCCCTTACAAATTGCGACAGAGTCCAAGGCCGACAGTGATTCGTGTAAAACCCCTGGCAGACCAGAGCATTGCAGGATGCTTCCAGCTGCCGAAAAATGGCCACTGCCCTCTTCCAGGGTCAAAGTGTCGCCCAAAATCTCAAAGTTGGAAGACTGTCCATACGGGAGACAAGTTGCCGACGTCTTGGCGGCGCAGCACCAGACAGAGCCATGAAGGGAACTCCACGGTATCTGGGCTTGAATCGCTCAGATCTGGCTTCGAGGACTTGCCCCCAATCAACGCCGGAGCCCGAGCTACCTGGAGTGCAAGCCTGGAGGTCCGAGGTTCAAGCCGAGGGGCGATTCACGAAGCCAATCGAGATCGAGAAATGCCGGCCGAAATTCCTTGACCGGCTAGGGCGTCGCTGGACATGACTGGAACTCGACAGCTGAACTCGACGCTCAGCACAAGCCACTCTGGTGAGAAGGCAAAACTGCGAAGCTCCGATACATCTATACCCAGTGTATGGAGCCATCGAACAGATGAGACGGCCTTCAACGATTGCCAAGGTGCATGACCCCAAAGTGGCATGTAGCATGCCTCATCTACCACCACAGCACAGATCCGTGAACCTCAAGCAGGAGCTGCACGCTTAAGTTTTCTTTGAACGAACATGTATCAAGATATGCCAAAAAGAGGATGCTTGCGGACCCGGCCACTCTGGTACAAAGGGACGAAAGCTTCCAGGTACTTCTGTGTGATCGACTCTGGGCACAGATAGACCAGGCCTGTGCAGGTCATCCCATGAGATAGGCAAATATGAGTAACTTACTTCACAGCAAGCTCATTTTTCAGAGCTCCAGCCATTTCCCGTGCATCGCTGAGACAGCGCTAAAGTCAGGGTCCATTGCCGCCCGGCGGCAGTAGTCGCCAGCTACGGCTGCCTCAATGACGGTCTCGTCCGTCTGCGCAGATCCCAGAAGGCATGCCTGGCCCAAGGATGTCTGGTTACTGCCGGCCCAAAGCAAGCCCAGCACCAACACTTCCCGACATTTGTCGTGCCTTGGCCGCCTCCTGTGTGGTGTCCTTCGTGTTGAATTGCTGCACTTGATCCTGCAATGCCAGATCGCCGGAGGAGGAAATGCCACACTAAGTCTGTGAGTGGCCTGCATCACTGGGATCGTCGGCTCGACCACAATGACTACGCCTCGCTTCCTGCAAAACGATCGGCGCGCATTGCACTGGACGAACTGAAGCTGCCATAACGGCGAACCTGCTGAGCCTGGCAGCTTAAGCACGGAACCGATCGTACGAGAGGGAGACATTGAAGTGCTTGTTCGGTATTGCTTTCGTGGGAATAGCAACTCTGGCGAGATCAACATCTCCCTGTCTCCGCTATCTTCACACAGCTTCTTTCTAGGCATGTCAGCCACGTGCTCGAGAAGAGCATGGACAAAGAGTCGAAGATGTGTTTAAAGAACAAAGGTTCGGGCATGACGAGTACGAGGCCCACATGATGTCTTGAAGTCTGCTCATACGCGCTAAGCTCGACTGTGAAATTCGAGGCATTGGGACCGAGAGGACGACAGAAATTGGATCAGCAGGGGTTGTGCAGTCCATGACCAGCCCACTGGCAAGCCGTCAAGAATGTTGGTTCCGGCCAAGTCTGACACACCAGACGGACCTTGCACATGTTACATAAACTGCTTTTCGATCCCGAGCCCGAGCCCGCTCGAACCCCGAAGACAGTGTCGCGAAGGTAAGGTGTTCTGCAAGGAATCCTACACCACACTTTCCAACATTCCAAATTACGGGATGATGCACTTCGAGCAACCATCATATGTCCAAACCATTCTGGCCCAAGTTGGACAGGCAAGGACTCCCCAACATGAAATGGCTGGAGACAGCGTGCCACCGATTGAACACACCAGCACTCCTCCTCCAGGCAAGGACCGCCAAAAGCTGAAAAACCAAGGACTTCCCAGCCGCCGTTGGCCAGTACAGCTCAATGTCCTGTGCGCACAGAAGAGGTTGTCGAAAGAGATGTTAGAATCAATCGAAGGTGAAAAACGGTAACTCTGGCAGCACACCGCTGGCACTTCACGTTTGCCTTCTGGCTGATGGCGGCTCGCAGCGCTTCCTCCTAGCAGCTAGCATCTCAGGTTAGAGAGAGAACACCTCACGAGCCTGGCAAAGACTAAAGTGTCGCACAAGCCTGTCCTGCTTTGGTCGGAAAGCATCATGCCCGAAGAAGTCCTGGCAGCTTACGGAAATCTGAAATGGAAAACATCGCAAGCAAAATGCAAATATGCTGATACTGTGAACAACACGGGCCATGGGTCCTTCAGCAGGACCTTGGCTTCCGCCATCAGCTCCTCGAGAAGCTGCGGCCACTCCTCCGACCAAGTCGTTCAAGGTCTCTGCGGGTTTGACTTTGCATTCTGCACACTGATGGCTGTCCTCGGCGCTGCAATTGCCCCACCAGTCCCAGGGTTTTGTGCGGACTTCCGAATAAGCCAAAGTCGGAAGGCCTACGCCTGCGCAGCTGCGGCAATCTGATGCTGGACACGGTGATTCACAGAATGACGCTCTGCCAGACGTCCTTCCGGATTCCCGAATGCTATCGGTTCGAAGTTGCAATTCAAAAAATTAAGATTCCTAGCAGCGCTGTGAGACATGATGGCTGCTGGTGTCAGGGTCACTCAAACGACTTTCATACTGGTCTTCTGCGTGAGGCTTTCATACTGGCTTCTGCGTGAGGCTCGGGCTCTCCGGCCGGAGGTACGGACAGACTTCAATAACCAAATGACCGTCTTATGATCTTCCACGTGCTACGTGTACGCTTCACGCCAAGTTGTCCTTTCGGGATGCAAAGGGAGAAATCGCGCTTCTGTGCAACCACTGGCACAACGCGAGTTCAATTCCTGTACCCATTTTACCGCGTTACACATGGACTTCTGACAGAGGGATGTAGCACCGGAAGCAGACTTATCGGTGGCTGTGCAGCCTTCTGGGGCGCAGCGTCGGGCACGTCCTCGTGGAAACAGCGCGGGCAGCGCTGCGAAGGCCAGAGCCGCCCGAGCTGCCCGAGCCCGAGCCGCCGTCGATCCGCAGGAAGGCGAGGAGCCCTGGCCTCAAAAAGAGAGCCGTTCTGGTCCAAGGGCCCTTGCATCAGGGCCCAAGCCTGCAATGGGACCTAGCGCCACCCGGCGCGGCAGCACTGCCGCGGCACTTTGGGGTGCAGCAAACGCCAAGGCCATGCTTGCTTGAGGTCGTCCGATGCGTGTTTCGGTAAAATGTGCAAATTTTCGGTGAGGTATGCAAAGCTCAGACGAAGGATGCACAACGGCTCGTCGCTCAGTTCCAAATTGAAAAGCTTTGCAAGCTCTGCTTGGTCGAAGCTGAACTTCCAGGAAGCACTTTGGCTTCTGTTCTACGGACAAGCTCGTGAGCCATAGAGAAGCTGAAGAGTTGAAGTCTCAAGCTCCAATTTCCGAAAGTTCCGGGGAGTCGACGGAGGCGATGGCACGCGAACTCGGCCGTCCGTTTGGAAGGTCTGGGCCATGCTGCAGTCACACCCGAGCAAGATAACAGGTGCTATTTTTGACGAGACATCGTTGCGTGCAGAAGAGCTTCCAACACGGGTACACGTAGCCTGCTATGCCCAAAACTGTTGCTATGCAGAACCTCGCGCTGTGTCCAAGCCTGCTGCGATGTTCAGTTTGCTGATGATGCCATGCTAGAAAAACTCCCATGCACGCAGGGTGTCTCGTCCAAAATGGCACCTGGAACAACTGCTGTATCACACCTTCTCTAAAACCTGTTCTCGCTGCAACTAAGCACTTTCAGAGAACCGTAGCAGTGGCAGGGTACAGTTCTGCTCCGGCCTGTGAGGTCGGCGATATGCTGCCAATTCGGCCGGGGTGGAGGGCCTGGTAGACCGGCATTGGCTGCAGCGACTGCACCTTCGGATGGAGCAGGGGAGCTCTTATTTCGGTTCGGTCTGCAAACGTCTGCAAAAGTCTGCAGCCTGTCCTCATCTTGGAGCTGGAACTGCCATTCCAAGGCACTGGGACCCGCGAAGCTGTGCAAGTCCGCGAAAGATCGCGAAAGGACTGAGATGCTAGGCAGTGTCAGATCCGAGTCGGTGAGGCACGCACCGGTTGGGAAGCCACCAGCTGCGGCGAAAGGGTCTGGAGGCCTCATCATTTTCGGTTGCAAGCTGGATGAACCCAGACCGTTGCTTATTTGGGAATCTGCTGCTTCCATGTCGGATGTGTGCACGAGCCACAAGTTGCAAGGGCAAGATTTACAAGCTGAGCGGAACAGCTCGGCAGCCATGCTAGGCCACGAGCAACATCCATTGCTCTGCGGCATCGCCTGCCTGGCAAAAGTATCAACGAAGCGTGGTCCGACACAAAAAATGGTTCAGCACGAGCAACAGGTCGTCTGGCTGGCCGCGTGGCCTGGGCACGGCTGTGACCGGCTCCCAAAGGGGGCTCGCCTGGGCCTCGGCCTGGGACCGCGGACCGCCCAGAATCTGACGCTTGGCCGCCTGCTGACTGCTGTTTTCTGAACAAGGTGCACTTGTCGGCTGCACAGGCTGCGCCGGCGGCGCCGGTGCCGGTTGCGGCTGCCACTGGCACTGCAGAGCAGGCTCGGGCCTGCAACCGTCTGGACTCTGCGTTTGCAAGCGAGCTGCACGACAATCCGCGGTCCTGCCAGCGGGCTCCGCCTCCTGGCAAGGAAGCCAATCGATTTCTTTCTGCAGTCCAATCGCAGCCAAGGCGGCACCTCCTTCGCTCGCAGAAGGCCAGGCGAGGAGAGCGATGGCCCCGAGGGGCTCTGAGGCTCCGAGGCACCTCGGCAAGCAGGCCAGCCGGGCACACGAAACATTCCGAAGCAGCGTGAAGCCAGGTGTGCTGCCGGAGTTGGGCGAAGGCTCGAGCGGCTCTAGCGCCGCTGCCTGAGATACGAAGCAGTCGAATCCGGCACAACGACAAGTGACAAGACCCAACCATGACAGGATACCACCAGACTGATCCGTCCATGCCATGCACCGGCACACGTAATCAGCGCGATCTGGTGTGGGAATGATTCGCTTCGGCATTTGGTCGCTTCCTCTCCTAGGTGTTGGATCACTGTGTCGTGGATCATCATCTCTCGAAACCCCCGATGTGGTAGGTTGCACATGTTCGGACACATTTGGCTTGCAGCACCAGCACACTTTTGGTCAGGACCGGCTGAGCACGGGCACCATCAGCAGGATCATCATCAGCAGCATCAGGACCAGCATCATCACCCATCATTATCATCGTCATCATCATCACCGTCTTGACCACTGCCACCGCCGCTGACCTCTCTATTGATTGTCATGGCCGTACAAGCACACATCATCCTCATGACTGGCCGACCGGCAAAAAACCTCGGAAGCAAGCCAGTGCAAAAGAAAAGAGAGAGGAATAGCACCTGAAGAGAATCCCAAACTTGTATAGGACTTTAGGATGCCTCCATATCTGCCCAGGACATTGCCAGCGCCGGCCGAATGCTCCCTTAGGTGCACGCTGCATCTGCTGCCTCGCTCGCCCTCTGCATCGAGCTCAACCGTGTAAGCACCATGCTTGCCGGACTGCTGACCTCAACCGTCTCAACCTGCAAGTGAGGAAGAGAGGCAGTGGCCTGAAACCCCTGATTCGACATTTCGTGCGCCATGAGGAACACCACGATTACACACGAACGATGAGGATTGTGTCATGTTTGCAGTAGGCATCATCGGATCCAGACCAGATTCAGATGAAACACCAGTTACTGGCTGCACAACTCACGGAATTGCCCAAAATCCTCAGAGCCGCACCTGGGACGGCAGTCGTGACTCCGCCGGCACGGAGGGAGCTGCCTCAAGCCTCCCGGACCACAGAAAGCACTTGGCCGCGGGAGCCAGAGGCCCGATGCCCCCGAAGACGGGTAGGGAGCGGGTGGTGGTTTCGTTATAGTTGATGGCTGTCCAACAACTCGCCGTTCAACTGCTCCTGCTTCCTCTGGAACGCTTATGAAAACGCAGTCGAAATCCAGGTACATCATGCGAAAGGCGTTCGGACCGTTCGGAAGCTATGCACTCGATCGGCCTCAACACGCTTTGCCCAGGGCTGAGCGGCGGTGTGGACAAGGACAAGGCCTGTACCGGAGACGCACCGTCGCTCTTGGCCTAAAGCAGCAACCTACTACAACTCCCAACACCGAACTCGATGAAATCACAACAGGCACTCAAGCAACAACTGGGGTCCAAGAGGCCCTTGGGCAACCGGCATCACAGGGGGTATTGGCCGAACAACTCAAAAGTGGACCCCGTCGCTGCATGAGACTGGAATAACTTCGGGGCGGGATGATTTCTGAATCAGCAGCAGCAGGAGGCAGCAGGCATAAATTTCCGGCGAGACAAGCCTCGCAGCCAGTTACTGGCTGTCAGCTGTCGAAACAAATGGCCCTAAAACCTGCCTCGACCCTTTGGTTTGAAGAGCACAGCAAGAAGACTTCAACAGGAACGCTGCCTGTCCACGCCATCCTTAATGAGTTTAAGAGCCTCCGTCTTATACCTCAAGATCTTTCAGTCCCCACAAGCAGTACGGTACGTCTGCCACCGCGCCTCGCTGCGACGAATCTCTGCCAGTGCCGAATTCAGCTGCGAGGGGCTGGCCAGTTCCGAGCCTCGGGCTTTCCACGTTCTCATGGGGGGATCTGCAAACGCTACGAATGCGTGTTCACCTTGTTAAAGCTTTAGCATCTTGAGCATCGCTAGAAGGCCGCCTCCATCCAACGTCTAAACATGGTTATCATGGTTATAGAAGCAGAAAACATACATGTTACGTATAATATACTCTAATAGTACTTCACCATGCCAATCGACGCCCAGCAGACAGTATGTACACAAACGCACACGTGTAAGTACACGTCTTTGGTGTTCAAACCCAGTACAAGCAGATCATACCTCACGCATCACACATGATGAACGCAGTGTAGATCGCATAGAGCACCTGTCTTACAAAGCCTTCATAGCGTAGCTGAGTAGATCGCGCATTGCCCACTGCACATACGATACAGCTAACACATGCACACACACACACACACACACACACGCACCCAGACACACACACACACACACACACACAACACTTTGGCTCGGCACATACCGATACGAAGGAAGACAGACAGGACAAGACGAGACAAAGACAGATTGCGACAACTGTGCAGGCTTAGTTTCACGTTTAAGGGTATTTTGGGCTGGCCGCACTTGCCGGTACAGGTGGTTGATCAGACTACCCTTCCCCCATCTTGGAATAGCTTCGTTGGCCAGGTATCAAGACGGGCCAGTGCCCCCTGCCTGAAAACTTCCCACTGGCAAGCTACCACATTGAAAGGCTCAGACTGACACCATGTTCAGGATTGTACACACACACACACACTTGCAAACTCCATGGTGGGAGTAGCTAGAACGATTTACTTATCTTTACAGCTTCATCTCAGTGGTGCACTGCGCAATCAATGTACAGCAAGGATCCTATCGGGGTTCTTGGCTTAGCCCCTTGCCATAATCACTTGCAGGTACGTGATCCCAGCGTCCCAGGATCATATCACAGTCATCAGACAGGCGTCTTCGTTGGCCTGAGTCCTGTCTGTGAGCCTCAGGCCCCCTGCGGATTTGGTCCCTTTGCTATCAGGGCTGTGCACACACAGCTACTTCCCAATTTTTGGGAAGTAGCATGCAATTCGTCGTCTTGGGGTCACCATGACGTTTCGCAGGTCAACGCCGCAGCCACGTCATGGTGCCCTTGAAAAAACGCGTCGTCTGGGGTAAGGGTCCTGCCCCATTGAGGCGTGGGTCCTGGCCTCATGCAATCAAGGAATCAATCAAGGAATCAATCAAGTTGAAAAGAATCAAGGAATCAATCAAGTTGAAAAGAATCAAGGAATCAATCAAATGAACAACAGCATGCAGGAATTTGTCAAATCAAGACACTTCATTCAAGGTCTCGATCAATTGAATCAAGTAATGAATCAAGTTGCTACGCCCGGCCCTTTGACAGAATGCCGGTCGAGAACACACTTGCAAACTCCATGGTGGGAGTAGCTAGAACGATTTACTTATCTTTACAGCTTCATCTCAGTGGTGCACTGCACAATCAATGTACCGCAAGGATCCTATCGGGGTTCTTGGCTTAGCCCCTTGCCATAATCACTTGCAGGTACGTGATCCCAGCGTCCGAGGATCATATCACAGTCATCAGACAGGCGTCTTCGTTGGCCTGAGTCCTGTCTGTGAGCCTCAGGCCCCCTGCGGATTTGGTCCCTTTGCTATCAGGGCTGTACACAGACACACACACACACACACACACCCGTGAGCGCGCTCGCACGCATGCACGATGTACCGAGCAGGCGTTGAGCCCTCGTACTGCAGGCTTGTCGACACACGTCCTTTGCAAGACTCACATTGCTTACGGTGCAGACAGCGCCTAGAAAAATCAACAAGCTTCGAGTATAGTCCGCCGAGGCCACAGGCCCAGGCGTCTTGGGGGTTAGCTCAGGTACCCTCCACCTAATCCTCCTCCCTGCGATCCAAATGTTTGGGGACACCCGTTTTTTGTGTTCGTTTGCCACCCCCCTTGCCCGGCTTCCCTTCATTTCCTGATTTGTCGGCCTCCCCCCCCCCCTCCCACCCCTCCCCCGCCTCATTTTACCTGATTTGTCGGCCCCCCTCCCCCCCCCCTCCCCCCCTCCCCCTGAGATGTAACCTGGACGTGTATCCCCTCGCTAGGCGTACAGGAACACAGGCACTCAGGTGTCTCTTTTGCTACAGGCGCACAGCTGTAGTCCACTGCACTAGAACCTTGAGCAACAGGCATGGATACATGCAAGTGATACGTGAAACAGACAGGCACCTGGATGTGTAACATTCAGTGTTTCAACCAGGCACAAATTTAAAACACGTAGAGCTGCATGGCCGTGGAGTCGGCAATCTACAAGCCTGTTATTGCTCTTGGTCGAATTAGCGGAGTATTGAGCTACATCTGCGACTTGAAGAGAATCTATACATCTCTAGCCTGAAGACAGCTTCAATGAAAAGAGCAGAACACGCACGAAACGCAAACGGATCTTCAACTGAAAACTTTTGCTTGAAAGTTGCCCACTTGTGTTTCAGTTCCCTCTCCAGGCGGAAAGCATACTGTAACATAAAGGTGTAAAGCTTGGCTCTACTTGATGCCAGCATGACATCTTGCGGCAAGGCAAATGGTATAAGGGCATTGGAAGTATCTTATCCTGAGATAAGTATCTTCTTTCCTGACAAGGTCTTTAGGAAGTCCCTTTTCCTGAGAAAAGCATCTTCCTTAGAAGCGGCGAATGCTCAAAATGGATACCTTCTTCTGAAAGCAGCATTCCGTGAAACACTCACTCAACTTCTTCCAACGGACCTTGTTGATTGATCCTTTGGTTGTACTGCCTCAATTGACGACCAACAAAAGGACTGTCGTCAGGATGAGGAATGCGGAGGTGAGGGTAGTACCATCTCTCCAAGCGCCAGTAATGGAGTTGGAAACGAAATGGAAATAACTCACCACTGCCAGTACGACTCCAGGATGCTGGGCCAGGACCAACGTCTTCGTCAGGAACGTCAACGTCTTCATCCTCGCCCAGGTCCGAACCTAGTCAGTTTTTGCCCTTGGCTTTGCCTTTGGACTTGTCCTTGGACTTGCCCTTGGACTTGCCCTTGTCAGCGTCCTTGCCTTTTCCTTTGGAGGACTTGCCTCCTTTGCCGTCTTCTTTGCCACCAGGAGGTTGTGCGGGTTCTGGAGGACGTTGAGAACCAGAAGCTTTAGCACCAGAAGCTGCCTCTCCCTGAGAAGAGCTTGCTCCCTGTGGCGCGGCTGCAGGACCAGTAGAACCAGAACCATGCGCCTTGTTCAGCTTCTGTCTCTCTTTTCTTCTGTCCGCGGCTTCCTTCACGGTGTCGGGATTGCGGTTGAGCGCTCTCATCCTGCCTCCAGAGTACTGGTTCGCGTGAACCTCGATGAGGAGCGGAGTGTGAGCGTCATAGTCCCGATCGTTGAGAAGGTACGCGGCGCTGGTGGAGTTTAACAGCCACTCAGAGACATGGATGTCGAACTCAGTCTTTGAAGACGGAAACTCCGCCCATTGATCGTCCGACATGCTGTGTCCCCATTCCATGACTGTAGCCATAACAGGATCCAAACCAGGAAAAGTATTCCAGTCTGGTTGCTTAGCTTCCTTGTATGGCATTCCCAGCGTGTCCTCATACTGTTTCAGAAGCCACATGGCGTTTGCTGACACATGTCTCGCACGAGGCGAACAGAAGTGTGGGCACTTTGGGCTTTCTGACCATGCCTCCAAGAAGTAGTCGAGAAGGCTTTGGTACATCCCGCCACGAATATCCATCGACTCCTGCTTTCTGCCGGTGGCCCGGTAGAGGGCCATGTTGGCGTCGCCACCGATGAGGTCGACTTGGTAGTGCAAGCAGTCGATGAACATGTTGCCCAACACTTCATGAGCCAACGCCACCTTGTCTGCCGCCGCGTCGTTGTGGAGGTGGAAGACACAAACTCTTAGCCGGTCGGATCCAGCTCGCTCCAAGACCTTGGTCAGTGACTCATCTGGAACATCACCACGACTGCCCTGGAGACCGGTCGGTAACGTCATGCCATACACGATTTCCGCGACCATATAGGTTATTGGAAGGGACTCGTGGGCATATCCACTGAGAGTGGAGCCGGCAAGACGGGTGATCGAAGATCCGACACCATTTGTACGACTTCCCACCATCAGGTCCTTGGACTCGTTACGAAGGAATTGCCAACCGCGTGACTTGAGGAAGGCCTCTTCGGAGTCATCGATCTTAGCCGCTTCGCAGAGCATGAACAAATGCGTCTTCGACTGTGCAATCGATTTTATCAAGGCTCCTTTAGATGGTGTAGCATCGTCCCAGTCAATGTGATTAGCAACGGAGCTAGGAGCGGTACGCTTTCTTCCCCTGCTCATGTTGCCGAGATTGAGGATGAGCGCGGCATACTTGGTCTTGCTGGTGAAGATAGGGACATTGGAGTCCTCTGCCAGACCAAAACGATGAATATAAGGATTCGGCGTCTTCTCAAGAGAGAGGTCCCCGATCTCCTCTTCATCGACTCCGGTGCTCAAGAAGTAGTGAAGCATAGCATTCAAAAGTTCTTCTCGAGTTGCCGGATTGCCGCTTGCATCCAGGGACTTCAGCTTATCAAGAAGTGCTTCCATAACATCCAGTGCTGATTCTCGGATGTCAGAGGCCTTGCCCATGAGCTTGTCGTCCAAGGTGCTACGAACGTCCCCAGAACGAAAAACAACGTCCTTTTTGTCGGGACGACGCTCATAGATGGGATCCATCTTGTTGAGTTGGTCGAATAGATCCACCATAGAGAGAGAGTATTTCTGTCCCTTGTGGTTCGGAACATTTACCCTCCAACTCATATGCTGCACCTTGTAGGCGAGAACGGGCTCGTAATCAGGATCACGAAGTCCTGTATGATACAAGCCTGAATAGCCATATCCATGCAGCTGCTTGCAGAGCATCCGCATAGGGCTTTGTCGTTCGATTTCGGTGAGCTGATTAAGGAAATGTTTGAACTCTTCGAGATCAACGAGCTCGATCTTTTCCTTTGCCTTGC